AAACATCACTGTTCAATGTTATCACATAGTACCTAATATGGAACTAGTTTTTATGTGTGGTGAACTTCAGAAGGCCTTTAATGAGAACTCTATCTTCCATAATTACCAAGGTGTTTAGTATGGAATTACAACTTACCAATGTAAAGAATCTGGGAAGAAACATGAAGCAAGGGTCAAATCATCAATTTCAGAGAACTCCGTTTCCAGATATCCAGTATAAAAGTAATAAATGTGGGAATGTGTCTTATGAAACCTCAAATCCTATTGTACATCACTGTATCCTTACTGGAGAGAAGACTTAAAATGCAGCAACTCTAGTAAAGCTTTTAATTAGTCTTCGAAACTTGCTCAACAGCAGAGATTTCATAATGGGAAGAAACCTTACAAATATAACAATATGGCAAAGGTTTTCAGTACCACTGAAAACTTGTCAACATGAGGTGTGATATATACTGGGGAGAAGGCTGAAAAATGTTTTGGCAAAGGCTTTAGGCAGAACTTCAAACTTTGTGACCATCAGAGAGTGCATACTGAAAGAAATATTACCAATGTAAAAAAATTTGACAAAGCATTTAATCGTCATCAAAACCTTCAACATGAGATCGTCCTGAGGAGATACTTTACAGATGTCAAGAATGTTGACAACGTCTATGTAGAACTGAATTTATAAAACATCAGAAAAACTACACTGGATATAAACCCGAGAAATGTAATGAGTGATGAAAAATGTTTGCTTTCCATATATATTAAAAAAATTTCTTTATAAAGATAAAAAAAAATTACAGTTGTGAACAATTGGCAAGCTATGTAATGGAATGTGAAATCTAAATAAACTGAGAGAATTCTCAGCAGAAAGAAGTCAATACCACTTTTGAGACATGATTCTAAATCAGAGTATTTATTATAGAGAAAAATCCAAAATTAAAACACTCAGGTCGCTTATTTAGCCTTGAACAATGGAGGTGCTATGGGGTGCCAACCCCTCCACAAGTGAACATCTGCTTGTAACTTGTGAGCCCCCAAATTTAAAAACATAGGTACTTTCCCATGGAAATAGCCTATTGTTGACCAGAAGCCTCATCTAGAACATAGTCAATACCCCATTATTAATATGTGGTCTGTATTATAGGCAGTATTTTTATAATAAAGCAAGCATGAGGAAAGAACATTAAGGAAATCATAATGAAGAGAAAACACATTTACAGTATATATATAAATTTGTGTATAAGTGGACCCACACTATTAAAACCCATGTTCTTCAATGGTCAACTGTGTTTGTTAATATGCGTGAAAGAATCAAGGGAAGATGGATGTCTGTCTGGAGAGGAATAATTTTACTGTCTCCTTTTTCTTTTGACCATGATTGTGATTTGGGGGGGGGGGG